TTTTCAAGAATTTTTAAAGTTATTGAGCCTCTGCTTAAAATTTTGGTCTTTGAGTAAAGATAATGATCAAACGAGAGGTTTCCAAAAGAAAGGGGTTTGCTTGTTTAAAGATGAAAAATTAATTTTTCTAGGATGAGATTTTAATGTTGTTGAGCCCCTGCTTAGAGGAGTTTTTTCCAAGATTGTGGAGCCTCTGCTTAAAAGAGCGTTTTTTAGGATGAAATCTTTAAAGTTGTTGAGCCTCTGCTGAGAGGAGCTCTTTTAGGATGTGATTTTTAAAATTATTAAGCCTCTACTGAGATAAGCTTTTTCAAGAATTTTTAAAGTTATTGAGCCTCTGCTTAAAATTTGGTCTTTGAGTAAGATAATGATCAAACGAGAGGTTTCCAAAAGAAAGGGGTTTGCTTGTTTAAAGATGAAAAATTAATTTTTCTAGGATGAGATTTTAATGTTGTTGAGCCCCTGCTTAGAGGAGTTTTTTCCAAGATTGTGGAGCCTCTGCTTAAAAGAGCTTTTTTTAGGATGAAATCTTTAAAGTTGTTGAGCCTCTGCTGAGAGGAGCTCTTTTAGGATGTGATTTTTAAAATTATTAAGCCTCTACTGAGATAAGCTTTTTCAAGAATTTTTAAAGTTATTGAGCCTCTGCTTAAAATTTTGGTCTTTGAGTAAAGATAATGATCAAACGAGAGGTTTCCAAAAGAAAGGGGTTTGCTTGTTTAAAGATGAAAAATTAATTTTTCTAGGATGAGATTTTAATGTTGTTGAGCCCCTGCTTAGAGGAGTTTTTCCAAGATTGTGGAGCCTCTGCTTAAAAGAGCTTTTTTTAGGATGAAATCTTTAAAGTTGTTGAGCCTCTGCTGAGAGGAGCTCTTTTAGGATGTGATTTTTAAAATTATTAAGCCTCTACTGAGATAAGCTTTTTCAAGAATTTTTAAAGTTATTGAGCCTCTGCTTAAAATTTTGGTCTTTGAGTAAAGATAATGATCAAACGAGAGGTTTCCAAAAGAAAGGGGTTTGCTTGTTTAAAGATGAAAAATTAATTTTTCTAGGATGAGATTTTAATGTTGTTGAGCCCCTGCTTAGAGGAGTTTTTTCCAAGATTGTGGAGCCTCTGCTTAAAAGAGCTTTTTTTAGGATGAAATCTTTAAAGTTGTTGAGCCTCCTGCTGAGAGGAGCTCTTTTAGGATGTGATTTTTAAAATTATTAAGCCTCTACTGAGATAAGCTTTTTCAAGAATTTTTAAAGTTATTGAGCCTCTGCTTAAAATTTTGGTCTTTGAGTAAAGATAATGATCAAACGAGAGGTTTCCAAAAGAAAGGGGTTTGCTTGTTTAAAGATGAAAATTAATTTTCTAGGATGAGATTTTAATGTTGTTGAGCCCCTGCTTAGAGGAGTTTTTTCCAAGATTGTGGAGCCTCTGCTTAAAAGAGCTTTTTTTAGGATGAAATCTTTAAAGTTGTTGAGCCTCTGCTGAGAGGAGCTCTTTTAGGATGTGATTTTTAAAATTATTAAGCCTCTACTGAGATAAGCTTTTTCAAGAATTTTTAAAGTTATTGAGCCTCTGCTTAAAATTTTGGTCTTTGAGTAAAGATAATGATCAAACGAGAGGTTTCCAAAAGAAAGGGGTTTGCTTGTTTAAAGATGAAAAATTAATTTTTCTAGGATGAGATTTTAATGTTGTTGAGCCCCTGCTTAGAGGAGTTTTTTCCAAGATTGTGGAGCCTCTGCTTAAAAGAGCTTTTTTTAGGATGAAATCTTTAAAGTTGTTGAGCCTCTGCTGAGAGGAGCTCTTTTAGGATGTGATTTTTAAAATTATTAAGCCTCTACTGAGATAAGCTTTTTCAAGAATTTTTAAAGTTATTGAGCCTCTGCTGAGAGGACCTTTTTCAAGAATTTTTAAAGTTATTGAACCTCTGGTTAGTGAAGCTTTTTTCAAGAATTTTTACAATTGTTGAGCCTCTACTTAGAAGAGCATTCATTATCGAAATTCATAAGTCTTTTAGGCAGAACATTTGTTTTTTCAAAAGTTATTGAGCCTCTACTTAGAAAAACCTTTTTAAATTTTCAAAAGTCATTAAACCTCTGTTAAGATGAGCCACTTTAAATTTTTTTAAAAAAAAAGAGATTTTATACTCAATGTTTCTTTTTTTCGAATAAAAATGGTTGTCTGTTTGTCTTTACCTTATTCTTGATTCTCAAAAATAGGCAAAGAGAGGCAGCTATAGACATTATTTTATTTTTTTTTGTTTTTTTTTCTTTTTCTAGTAACTTTTTTGCCGGTCATTGACAGTCGCACTGCCAGCGACTCTAACAACTACCTGCAACTGCATTGTCAATAGTCCTGATAGCCACTTACAACTATTCTAATAGCTGATGGCTGTTCTAATCATAGGCAACCAAAATCTCAAATTTTTTGAGATTTTGATCCTCCTTTTGCTCTATAAATAAAGCTACAAAAAACACTAAGAGGATCCAAAATAAAAAGAAACCTAAAAACCCTACAACAAAAAAGATTTAAAAAACACACTCATTGCCAAATTCAAAAAATAACTTCTTATGAAAAAAGAAAAATCAACACCAAAACATAAGCAAAACAAATAGTCCCTGGAACAGGAACCACAACGTCAATCTATAAAAAAAAATACCACAAAAATAAGAAAAGTCAATTTGGCCAAACTTTTCAGGCCAGCCCTTTTCGTAAAACTAGGCTTAGATCTAGACTTAAGAGGCTGGGAATATTCATTTTGGAGATTTTGGGTTTTCTTGATGACCGACAGACGACAATCGATGACCACTGACGACGGAGGGCATAGTACAACAGTCATCGAATTTTGGGTTTTTAGAGAAAGAGTGTCTGAGAGGAAGAGAAAAAAGAAAAGTAAAAAAAATGATTGATTTGGCCTTTAAATAGGCCTTCAAAATGATGCCATTTAGGCCACAAGAAAAACGATACCGTTTTAACCCCAAAGGATACACGCATCAACCTGTAACCTGACCCGGGATCTGCGCGCCCGACCCGATGACTCGTTTCCTTTTGACGCTCGATTAGTCTAACTAAATCGGCCTAGACTGGCACTAAACCACCCTAAACCAACACCAAACTGCCCTAAACTAGCTTCGAACCGTCGAATCGGTTCAAACCCGAGTTGACCGAATCGTTGACCGATCCAGTTTAGGTAAATTTTTTTTTTGAATGTTCTGATTTTCTTTATATATATTATTTGATTATTTTAAATTTGATTATTAGTATTTAGGCATGCTAAAATGTTTAAATTTGTTAGAATAAATTATTATTGTTTTAATAATAATTAATAAAAAATTAAATAAATAAATAATGAAATACATAATTTAAATTTTTGATAATTATATATATTTTTTTGAAACAAAACCTTATAAATGATTTAAAAATAATAAAAAATGTAAGGAAAAAAGGAAATTTTTGTCCGATGATGAGATTCAAAGGTACTCCGAGTAGTGATACCTACAAAATCTCTAGGTGAATTTTTTTTTTTAAATAGTACCAGTGTATTGGAGTATTTATAAAAAGTTTTCAATACAATAAAAATTTTCTTTTTATAAAAATGGTAAAGTTAAAATTAACTAATTCATTAAAAAACAAAGTGATAAAGGAATAATAATAAAGAATGAGGAAAAAGGAAATATTACCCGATAATGAGATTCTAAAAATATTTCGAATAGTGATACTTTACGAAATCTTTAGATGAGAAGATTTTTTATATATTACTAGTGTATTAGAATATTTATAAAAATCTTCAATATAATAAAATTTTCTCTTTTTTTCATAAAATTTTTTTATAATAATAATTCAATAAATAAATCAAAATTTCTAAAGGGTAAAATAAAATGTGTGCATTAAAATGTTAGCATTTTGTATTGCATGCACAATATAGTTTTTTATGAAAAGTAAATTTGAGTCTTTGAAGATGAGATTTTAAGGTATTCCGAGAAGTAATGCCTAGAAAAGAAAAAGTTCTTCTAATTTTACCAATATATTGAAACATTTTAAGAATTATTTCAATAAAAATGTTGTAATTTATTTTTCTAGAATAAAAAAAATGAAACAATAAATAATAAAAGGTATTAAAAAAATCAACATTTCAATAAACAAAAGAAATTAAGAAAATTACTTTTAAACACCGAAAATAAGATTATTTTTTTTATCAAAATCAATAGATAACACGTAATTAATTGATATCGTTTTAAACGAACGCTGTGAGGGTACTAATTCTTCCTCATACGTAACCGATTCTCAGACATAGATTGGTTCGCAAACTCCTAAATTATCTTTTTGATAAATTTTAATCAATTTTAAGATTTCATTAAAATAATGTGTTTTAATATGTAGGTAATCGTACCTAATTAAAAAAAATTAATGGTGACCTTTTTTTTTCCATTTTGTTTTCAAATTTATCGGATGGATGCAAAATCGTTACGATAATCATAATTCTTAAAATATTTTGTGCAAAATATGATTATTTAGTCATATCCCTAATCAATTTTTGGAAGAGAAGTACGTGTCAATAAACCCTAGGAGCAGCCAAACTTTGCCTTTGGTGTATGAGACAGAAATCTCTAGAAACCATAGCCATTTAATTTCTAATTCTTCAACATTTTACATTGTAGAATGAAAAAAAGAAACAGGGCATACACATTTGAAAATATCAATACGTGAGCCTTGTTACACCTTTACATTACAAATGGAGGGTTCTAAAAAAATAACACACTTAGGGTGTGATCTAGTGGCAAAGGCGAGTTTGAGACTGTACTGCCTTATTGCGTGATTCAGGATTGATTCCTGTCCTAAGAATCCTTGATTTAAAGTAATGCCCCCGTCATAAAAAAATAAAATAAAAACAAAGCCAGAGGAAAAATAAAGCAAAAAAAAGGAGAAATGTAAAAGAAAAAAAAGGCTAGAAGTATATTAACAAGAATTTTTTTTTCTTGCTTTTTTTTTTTTTTCTTTTTTTAAATCACCGAGGTCAAGCAGTTTGATCAGATGAAGTCAAAAGTTCTTCCAAGTAATCTGCTCCTAAATCCTCCAAAACCACCACATTGTTTATCCTCGTATCTCTTTCTTTATTTCTTTTTCTTATCATTTTCCTCCTCATGGAATGTTTTCTTTTTAAAGCTACCACCGGTGAACACCCTTCCTCTTGGTTGCACTTCATGTCTCTCAGTGATTCCTGCACTCTTTCGACCGGAAAGTTGAGTGTCGCGGCGGAGCCTCTCATGGCAAAAGCAGCTTGATCATAAGCCAAAGCAGCTGCTTCTGCACTGTCAAATGTTCCTAGCCAAACCCTCATGCCATGCCTAGTTGAATCCCTTATCTCAGCCGCAAACTTCCCCCACGGCCGCCTTCTTACACCTCTGTAAGACCTTTCTTTCTTCGGACTTTCCTTTTCCATTGAGCTAACCTCTTCTTCCTTTACTTGATGATCAGGATATGTTATTTCTAATGCTTCTTCTGTAGCCTCCGCGAGCAGCCCGTATAAAAGCATCTCTTCGGAGTCATTTTCATTGAAAGGAAGAGAGCTGTGGTCGAAAGGGAAATTTTCCGGTGACCCGAATGAAGATTCCAATGAAGAGTTGGAATTTGGGGAGTGAAAAAGGAAAAAATCCATTGGTTTTTTAAGGCTTGGGGGAAATGTTTCTCTGTTTTTGGTGTTAGTGTCGGGAGTTGGTGGCAGAGCAAAGAGCTTGAGGCTTTGGCTCCATTTTATACTCCAAATAAAGGCAAAAAAATTTTGACAAATGGCAAAGGAAGCTGACATGGCACTATATTATTGATTATTACAAGTAGGTCCCATATCCAAGGTTAAATGAACAAGTGGGTGGAGTCGGGCATGGCGGCCAGGTGATGTCAGCATGTGATCTCAGCTTTGGTTGGATATGAAGTTACCTTAGGACCTTGTCCACTGGTCATATCTGTTAAAAATTTGTGAAGAAAATTTTGGAGAAATAGAAACCGAAAAATATCATGTTATTTTCTAACACTCGTGAACTTTTTTTTTTTTTTGTTTTACCGATAGGAATGGCTTGTTGTTCTTTGCATTTAGATCATTTGGATAGGATTGGATTGTACATTTGTATTTATGATTGTTCAATGAATTGGGGCAAACATCAAGGAATTAGCTGCTACTTGACTTGACAATGAAAAGCACTATCTCTTTTGTAACAATTATTTCAAGCTTAAACTGCAAGAGAAATGTATCATTTTCCTCTTATAGGTGGACAATGGGGGGAAAAAAACAAGGGTTTCACATCCAAAATCCAGATAGCTGGAAGATGGAGAGTAAGTCAAGCTCTAGATCTATAGACTATATTGGTATAGGGATAAGGAGCGTTATAATTATTATATGATTGAGCATATAAAATCTTATTGTGAGTCTTCAATGAAGGATATGAGAAATTTCATGAAAGCTAAAGGGGAAGAGAATGAGAAGAAAATGAGTGATGACGATGAAATTGAAGTTTTAAAGGACTCTTAGATCTATTTGCATTAAAACACTGAACTTAATCTTTTAATTCTTTTTTTTTTTTTAACTCTAGGCTCAGTAAAAAGTATTCCAGCAAGTGATTCATTGGTTCTATGAGAGAGGTACGAATGATCAGATTAACATGATTCGACAACTCGATGTGATACATTCCTTGCAATGATTAGCACGTGTCCTCGATTAATTCTTTGAGCTAACCCTAATCTTGTGTCACTAATTCAGGTGAAGAAATTATCCAATATATCTACTTATTAAAAGTAATTTTATATTTTTGTATCACTAAAAATTATAAAATATGATATAAATATATAAATTTTAATATTTTACATAATATAAATATATAAATCATTAAATCTATTTATAACTATATTAGGTTTGTGACAAAATTACAAGGGAAACAAGAACAAAATAGTTGAACATAAAAGAACATAAAAATCTACATATATTTATGAATTATGACAAATTATGCTCACACTATGATTTCTTTGGGTATATTTGAATAAGATAAAAAAAGCATTTTAAATAATTTTATTTAGAATTTTTCATATTCTAAATCTAATTATTATGTTTGTGAACAATATGGAATTTATTTTTAAACTCTCCTCAATTGGCTTAATCTCTGAAGGACTGCTAAGATCAGTTACAGTTAGTAAAATACATTATTGGTTCATTTTTACAGCTTGTAAGAAATGATGGCAATCAACTTATAGTAAAAACTAAAAGTGTGTTTATTTACAACAACAACCACAATAATAACATGGGCTTTATAAAGCAATTCATATTCTCCTTCTGCCAAAAAAAAAAAAATCAAAACCACATAAAGAAAAAAAAAAGAAAGAAATAAAGAGATTTATTGACCATCTAGATGATAAATTTTCTTAGTAAGTTTGATTTTTTTTTTTACAAAAAAAAAAGAGTCACAATTTGATAATTAAAAAAAAAGATTGTAAATACTGAAATTCGAATATTAAAGCTATTAAATGTAATTTTTGAGAAATTATATGAATCAATTGAATTAAATTTGATTATCAAAATTTTACCAAATCACATAAAAAAAAAAAAAAAAAAAAGAGATTCATTGACCATCTAGATGATAAATTTGTTTAATGAGTTTGATTTTTTTTTTTACAAAGAAAATCATAATTTGATAATAGCAAAATAATTACAAATACTAAAATTTAAATATTAAATTTATCAAAAATAATTTTTTAAAAATTATATGAATCAACTTAATTAAATTTTAAATTTAATTTTGGCATCCATATTAACAAATTTTCAACCACACCTTTTTTGTTATAAAAACGGGATTCATGTGAAATGATATTTAGAAATAATCAATTAATCAGAAATCGCTGCCCAAAGCCAAAAGTTCAATTCGACATGAACACTCTTCAGTCTGCACACTCAATTTTGAAAACAACATATTTATTTGTTTTGTTATGAACAGACCAAAATACTAACAATAATGAACTGTTCTAAATCGTTTTCAATTGAATCAAAATCATCAACCTAAATGTAGAGCCTATCAAATTAGGCTCAAATTATCAATCAAAATTGAATTTTTGGTGGCCCCTCATTGAAAAAAAAATAAAAAGAAAAAAGGTCTAGGTTCATGCCCTTGAGGAATAAATTCATGAAAATATTTTGTAAGTCACCAAAAACTCTAAGAAGAAAGGAAAGTGTCGCAAAGTCCTCCCAAAAAATATGGACACTCCTTTGTCTGATAATGACCAGACTGCTTCTGTTGAAGTCCAAAGGTATATATATTTTTTGATACATTTATTAAATAGATATTTTTAATAAAAATATTAAGAGAATTTTTATCGCTAAAAAAGTGTAGATCAAATTTAAATTATAAATAATATTTTGAATAATTTTTTATACATTATTGATCTTTAAATTTAATTCTATTAATCTATTAATTTAAATTTTTTATTAAAATTTTTATTTACTCATTTCTAATAAAAAATTTTACCAACTTTACTTATAAATTTTGTCTTTTGGGGTATAACTATCTTTTTCGGGACAAGACTAAGATCTTCATTCAAATTAGAAAAACACAAATTCATGATTAATTCACCGTAATTTTAGACTCTCTTTTTGGATTTTTTATGTGAAATTATTGTTAGGGCTGAGTGGACATTTTTGTTACCTGCATTCTTGAGAACAAAGGTAATTTCTTTTGGGTTGGTGGATGAAAAGCCAGCCAGTCCCTTTTTTTCTTTTCTTTTCTTTTCTTTTCTTTTTTTGTTTGGGAGGGGGGTGTTTGCATCAATTTGATCACTATTTAATAATGTGAATACTATTTATAGAAAAATAAAAATATTAATGTTAAAAGAATAATAGTTAAGAGATCAGACGACATTTCCAATTGAATTGGTCTCTTTTTAATCGATATTTGTGAATTAAAAATATTAAAGGAAAATAATAAATTTGTTAAAATTTGTCTTGAATTTTTTTATCCTCGTATAGAAAATTGAATGAAATTATAAGAGTTGAGAATTTGTTTTGTATATCACATCCGGAGTGTAATAAAAATATAAGAAATTTCACTCTTATAAATTAGATACTTTGGTTTTATTTTGGTAATCTTAAATAGTTATATATCAAGAGAATAGTTAAATAAGTAGACTATTAAAAAATATGTAATTAGATTTTGAGTTAAGTTTTGAGCAAAAATTTTTTTTATGATTTTTTTCATTTCTAAAGTCTTAGTTGTAAAGATTTATTTTTTAGTGGATTAGGTTTGAAGTAGGATACTTTAAGTTAAACTGAAACAAATATATTTGTGTATCATTATTTTTGTTTTATGCTTACTCTATTATTTGTGTGTGAGTATTGTGCATGCGTGTTTATTTCCCAAAAAAATGACATTAAAGCGAGGTTCGAGATGTGAAAAGAGGAAAGCTAAAGAAATCATGAAGAAGGAGAGATTGTGAAGACGATGTGAGTATTTCACAATATCTGAAAGTATATCTAGTATGCCTAAGTTTGAGATTTTTTTATTTAATGGGAAGAGTAATTTTATATAATGACAAAATATGATTTAGGATCTATTAGTGCAATAAAGGTTAGATCAAGCATTAAAAAATAGTAAGCATGATGAAATGTTTGATAGTAACTAGAATAAACTTTAGAAAAAAGCTGTAAGTACTATTAAATTTGGTTTTAGCACCAAAAATAAAGTACAATATGTTGACTGAGAATACTCAAAAGAGTTTGTGGGATAAACTTTAAGACATTTACATGTCGAAGTTATTGACTAATAGATTATCTTTAAAAATATATCTATATTCTTTAAAAATAGAAAAATGTATGAGTCTTCATAATTACCTAAATAAGTTTAATAAGTTAGTTTCTCAATTGTTGACTATTTCTATTGATGAGTTAAAAGATAAAAAAAAAAGGCTTTAATTTTGTTATCATCTTTGTCTAAGTCCTATAGACCTATAATTCAAATTTTGTTCGTGGGTAAGTCTACTTTGAAGTTAGATGACGTAACTGCCTTATTATGTGAAAACAAAACGTTTATGGGAATGAAGAACTCATCATTTGGAGGGTGTGTATTAGTTGTAAAGGGTTTTGATCGAGGGTTGACTTAAGAGAGAGTTGATGGATCAAGAAGGAGATCCAAGTAAAGAGATAAAAACTATAATGATATAAAATGTTATTATTATGGTAATAAGAGACATATCCAAGTACACTACAAGCTAAGAAAGGATATAGTTGCTTTCAAAATGGCGAATAATGAGAAAAAGTCAGATGAAGAAAAGAGTGACACTATAGGTACTGTGTTTGATGATGGTCTCCTTTTGACGACTTATATGGGTGAGATTCAAACCTTGAAAGTTCATAAAGATTGGGTTTTAGATTCAGCTGTTACTGTTCATGCCTGCAATGATAGGAGTTGCTTTGTGAAATTGAAAGAGAATGAGAAGCGTGGGGATATTGTGATTGCCAACAATGAAAAGGTATAGATTTAAAACTTTGGGAGTATTCGCCTTAGATCTCATAATGGTGTTAGGATTCTTTGTCAAATAAGGTATGTACCAAGTTATGACTACAATTTGATTTCTTTGGGTGAGTTAGCTTCTTGTTGATATACATACTATTGATGAAATGATTGGTGCAAAGTGTATAAGAATGTTAGTGTGATTTTACGAAGGAATATAGTAAAAAATTACTTGTACATGCTTGATGAAGGCTCAATTATTGGGATTCCTACTACGAAAGAAAAAAAAAAAGGCAAGTGTCAGCTTTGCAGATATTATTGAAGCATTTGGAGATTTGAGTCAATGGAGGATTTGTTGAGGTTT